TTGAAAATGGGATATCAAGGTATACTGGTTTTGTTAAATGTATGTAACCGGCAGTAGGAGGCATGACAGACCCCATAAAGTATATATATTCTTGATCAAGGCAACGCGCTGAGTCCATTTAGTCCGTCAGTCCGTATGTTTGAATGCGTCGATCTCAGAAGATATAAGTGTTAGAGACTTGAAATTTTGTCTTAGGTATATCTGTATATTATGCGCATATCGAGTTTTTCTCGAAAAATCGATAACTTGTCCCGTTATTTTGTTATCGATTAAAAACCTTATCGAAAATCAGTGATAAATGTATATCTGCTACATCTTTGGAGCTAGAGTGGCCAAATTTTTAATATAGATTCCTATCTACTTTATAGAATTTCAATTTTTGTTATCATACACCCTACACAACCCCCCCCCACCACACACACACACCCTTATAGCCACCCCCTTACCCCTAAATTTGTTAAAGTCGTACCTCAATTATTAGAGACTTGAGCTTTAGCAACTGCACTCATATTAATGTTCTTATCCCGATCTGAGAGTTATATGAAGTTAGTCCATCCACAAGACAGTTATTAAACAATTAGGTTCCCGTAATGAGCCCACGCTGCAGACCATGCGTGCTTATGCGTATGTGCCTATGTGTGTCTATGAGTGTGTGTGTGTTTCTTGTGTACTGAGGCGAAGAGTTATGTAGATATCTGATCGTCGAAGGGTTCAGGGGATCTCGTAGTCGACTAGAGCTTTCTTACTTGTTTCTATTGACTTGAAGAAAGCGATCTAAAATAATCTCTACTACGATACCATTGCAGATGGCAAGCTGTACGCTTGTCCCTTAAAGTCATGCAACGTTTCCTTGACTGAGGGGACATTTGTCAGTCATGTGATCTTTCACATGACAAGCAGTAAGATGATGGGCCAGCTCACTTGTAAACATTGTGCTCAGACCTTCGAGCGTCCGGTCGTCCTGCGTTCCCATTTGCAGCAGGCGCACGCTCGTCACAAATACTTTTGCAGCATTTGCCTGGAGACGACGCCGAATCGTACATTGATGGACCAGCATCAGCTGAGTCGGCACGGCATAGAGTATCATCTAATCAACGGCCAGCCAGAGTTCCTTGAGCTGCCCGCACAGCCGGAGGAGCAGCAACAGGGCGCCAATCAGGAGCAGTTCAGGTGTTGGGTCAGCGCTGTCAAGCTGCCCTTTGGCAAGAAGCAAATGGATGAGTTCAGGAGTCAGCTGATGGACGAGTGGCTGCAGCGACGTCAGGGCAGAAAGACCACCTACCGACCATCGGAACTGCGCCTGCTGCCCCGTAAAATGATATTCAGCCAGCGGTTGCAGTGCGCCGAATGTGAATTCAAATCGATCTCGTATAAGGAGCTGTACGGTCATCTGCTGGCGCACAAGGAGGCAGCGTTGCGTCTCGCCATGCTAAGTGAACAGTCTGGACAGTTGGCAACGACAAGTGTCCCACCGGAGTGTCCCACCGGGGCCACCCCATCGGTAACCCAAAGTTCCACCGAATGCCGCATCCGTAATTTTCCGTACGTCCCCAATCGGGAATATGTGCCCCAGTCGAAACGGTTCGTCTGCTGCATGGAGGATTGCAATGCCCATCTGCCGACGGAGCTGGAGCTGCGTCAGCATTTTGCCACAACACACAGCTACAGCCAGAGCCTTCGATGTGCCCACTGCTACAACACCCTGAATACGGTCGAAGCGTACTTGGATCACTTGTTGTATCACAAGCGTCACATCTATCAATGTGGACGCTGTGAGACATTCCACCCGAGGCGCAGCGGCATCGAGCGCCACATCAATGCCCGTCACGGCAGCAATCTGATCAATGTGCTCATACACAAGCGCAGCGGCAACTCCGACCCCGACGAGATCCGCTGGCTGCAGTCGAGTAAGTATGGAAGCCTTTTACGATTTGTCGTTAGGTGCTAACACGCACTTGCCACCCTTCTTTCAGCCTTGTCCTTGCGCTGCAATTACGATGATTGGATCTGCAATCTCTGCTCCAGTGTGATGGATGACCATGTGGCGATAAAGGCCCATGTGAAGGAGCTGCACAGACGCACGCAGCCGTATAACTGCGGCTACTGCAGCCTGGCCGACAGTTCGATGGCGCCCTTAATCAATCACATACGGCACGAGCATCCCAACTGTCGGGTGCAGCCGATTGTGAACTATCAGCACTCGAGGGTGAAGAACAGGCAAACGCTGGGCTTCTACTGCACCAAATGCGAGACTGCTGCGAAAACCATACAGTGCATTCGCAAGCACTGCTCCCAAAGCCATGGATCGGGCCACCAGTTCTCGTGCCCGCACTGCGAATTCGGCGAATCCACCGAGTGGTCGGTTGTCCTGCACATGCAACAATCGCACGAGGGTGCCGCCGGCCTGGCCGTGCAGATGTTCGAACGGGTGCCCAATGAGCTGCTCGATAGCGATTACTGGCAGATGGCCCATCCACTAGACACAACGAAGTGCAGTCAGACTAACAGCAGCAGCAGCAGCAGCATCAGCAGCAGCATCAGCAGCAGCAGCCATAGCAATAAATTACCCACAATCAGCAGCAACATTAACATTAAGAACAATAATAATAACAACGACAGCAACATCATTTCAAATGAGCCCGTCATTGTCGACGAGATTGAACTGCTGTCGTCCGACGAGGAGGCCGATGAGCAGGTAAGTTGCACCGCTAGATAGATCCATAGCCATAGCTAATCGTACTATTATTTTGCTTTACAGACAAAATTCGAATTCGCCTGCTCGCACTGCACCGAAACGTCGTACAGCGTGGACGAGCTGCGCACCAAGCACTGGGCCACCGAACACATCGAGCATCCGTTCTATTTCAGCATCCAGCCGCAACTGCGCTGTGGCATCTGCCGCCAGTTTGTGGGCAATCCCAAAGCCCTGCTGGACAATCACTTGCCCAATGTGCACTCGTTGCGTCAGCTGGTCGCCTGCGATGTGGCAAAGCCGAACGAGTGCGCCTTCTGTACGCATCAGTTCACCAACTCGGGATCCCTCATACAGCATATGCTGAACGAGGCGCATCTGTCCAATGACCTGAAGTCGCTCAACAACATTCAGCTGAACCGTCTACTGAAGATGGGCACCAAAACAGAGGCTTACCCCGTCCGGTACTACCAGTGCAACATTTGCCGGGTGATAATGCCATCGGATATGGCGATGGCACAGCACGGCCGGGTCGAGCATAGTGATGCGCCGGAATTGTTCTGCTTCCGCCAGCTCAACGAGGCGGTCATCTACCACTGTTCGTTCTGCATGTTCGCCTCGACGTGCCAAAAGGAGACGTTGCGCCACATGGTCGACCACTACAGGAAATTCAGGCAGTGCCACTTCTGCAAGGCGCCGCTGAACGACGGCTTCGATGAGTACATGCACCATTGCCATACCTTCCACCGGGAGGCTGTAAATCGCTTCCAAGAGATTCACCCCTACGAGCAGCTCAAGAAGTTCCTCATGCAGGTGCTCTATCAGTTTCAGAATGGCCTGATCATTAGCAAGAGCAGCTTGCGGCACACGCTCTATCGCGGCGATGAGCTCATTTTCAAATTGTACTCGGAGCTGTTGTACAAGTTCCAACAGCCACCCACACCGCGAATATTCATAAATCATTTGCACAATCGTAATCCTGTGATATCCACGCAGCCGCAGCAGCAGCAGCAGGGGATGGTGAAAATAATGAGGCGACGCAAGACTCTGAATCCGGATGATTTAAGCACCCGATTGAATATCACTGCCAACTTGCAACAACAGCCGCAGCAACTACAACAACACCAGCCAGAACAACAACAAGAGCAGCCACAGCAAAAGCAGCAGCCGCAGCATTCGCAGCGTGGCTCTCTCATCAATTGGCATACATCGTTTATGGGCACCAGCAAAGCCACGCCCACTCCAAGCGTGCTCGCGGCACAGCCGCAGCCGCAGCCGCAGCCGCAGTCGCAGCTGCCTTCGCTGCAGCGCATAGCAAAGCGTCGCAGCACCTTTGTGGACATCGGACAGCTGAGCATTAAGCGCATCTGCCCCGCCGATCAGATGCCCTGATCGCAGTCAAAGCGAAACTATATACGAGACTGCCTGCAGTATTCGGCCCAAGCGCAACATGATAATCCTATTTTGTAAACCTAACTCGTAACTAGCTTGTAGTAAATGTTGAATTCCAATGACAGCCAAGTGGGCTGTCGCTGTTAATAAACAAGAATATTGAAAAAACTTTTTATAAAAAAAAAAAAAAAAAAAAAAAAATTAAAAAAAAAAAACTCTCTTATTTTACCCACTGACTGGAGGGAGCAATACGAGAGTTGTATATGGTAGCCAGGCGAGGGGAGGAGACGAGAAGTTGCTGCATACCCTGTAACTATGATTGTTCATAATGGAGAATGATAGGCTCTTTAGCGAGACAGAGAGAACCCTACGATCCTGGAAAGACGTTGCTCTCAAGGCAAAGAAGGAATCTATCATTAACCTTGAATCACATAGAGCTGTCCACGCTTCGTTAAATGTTTAATCAGTCAATCAATCATCTGTTCAAGCAATCAAGCAGTCAATCATTAATCATGCATCAGAGCTTTGCTCACAAGCAAATCATTTCAATTCAGCGAAAATTAAGTCTAATTGTAAACAACCAGCTATCATCTGGTCATCCATCATTCAGTTAGATTGACTGACACCCATCAGTGGGTTAGTGGATCCTCTAACGATGACTTGATTAGCCAATCAATCAGTCAGTGAACCAATTTGTTGTACAATATAAACGATTCAGACTCGTATACCAATGATTGAAGCTATGACTTGACCATGAACTTATCATGCAAGCAATTGGTCAGGCAGTCAATCATTCAGTCAGTGTCCTATACTTGTTCAATCAATCATATGGTAGTATATGACAAATAACTACAAATCTTGTCAAGAAACCCTTTTTACTAGCTGTGCGCCGCTTTTCAATGAGTCAATCAATCAATCAATCAATCAATCAATCAATTAATAATCTTAAAATATTAGATTAGATAAGAAAAAAAAAACATGCTTTACTTAAAACTACATCATTCCAGGCTTGCTTCCTCTCAGTCACGCACACAATCAATCATCATATAAAAAAAAAAAACCAATTCTCTTTCATAGTTCTCTGTCAGCGTCTATTCTCTTTGCAGGCATGCTGATACAACAGCTCATAGGTGGGCGCCTCCTTGCCCTGGCTGCGGGCGACGCTGGCGCAGCGCAGCTGATTGAAGTACTCGCAGGGCGTGGCATAGGTGATCAGCTGGTTATCGTTGCGTCTGGCGCAGACGGGACGGTAGTAGCGCGGACAGCTATACTCGCAGTTGCTCTCATCCAGGCCGACGGCCTCGATGTTGTCGCCCTGTGGCTGCTCCTCCACGGAGTCCTCCTCCGTCTGCTCGTCCTCCTCATCGTCGGCATATTCCTTGTAATCCTCCCACTGTCCGCTGTTGGGCTGCAAATAGATGTCCTCGCTGCCAGCTGTTGCATAATCCGCCAGCTCCAGCTGCTCGTCAGCCAGCAGCAGGCCCGCCCGCAGCGCCAGCAGTGCCATCAATAGCCAGGCTGTCGTTGGTAGCATCATGGAGTGCACCGTATTCCAGTTGAACTGTGCCGCCAATCTGCGACTGGGTGGCGTTTTATAGACACCGCTCGCTGGCCTACAGTTGTGCAAACAAAGAGCTCCAAATACATGACTCTGGGGTATGCCTGACTAGCAGATATCCCGCTGCAGCTGGAGTAACTGCTCTATATGGCTTCGGTGAATAAAGGTCTCGATATACATGCAGAGACCGACGCAAACAAGTCCTACATATTAGCAGCTAGATATGTGCACGGCTACCAGATACCCTGTTGCAGCCAGGACTTTACATTTTTTTTTCGATATTTCACTAAAATTAGCAGTATAACATTTACACAATATACATGCTAGAGTAGGCCAGTCGAAAGTGCTCGACCTATAGATACCCTATCAGTAAAGTTGAGCTTTTCGCTATATAGAATGACACCCAATTCGTAGATGATAAAAAAAGAAAGTTGATCGATATTTATCGATTTTGTAAATCAGTTTTAGCTATAATAGTAGAATCAGTCAATGATTGTATGCGAAATACGAGCCGAGCACTGGAACAATATACCCCATTTGTCGAACTTTCAATGGGCATACAAAAAGAAAGAAAAGTTTGGAGCACAAGCCAAGAATTCTTTTTAGCTGTCATTGTTAGATAAATATTCAAATGTGAATCAAGGTCGTTGCTGCCTGACTGATAGCTACTGCTGCTGCTGCTGCTGCTTGCGTCATTCCAGTTATTCCAGTCATTCCATTAAGTTAATCAAACTTTGAAGGCAGCCCAAAATGAAATCTACCTAGCGGAACTGGACTTACAATTGAGCTAGGTTTGCTATGCGGACTGCATTGAGCGAAAGAGCATAGTGTTATCCATAGATCATACATACATACATACATATATGCGCATGGATTATGATTGGAGATGAATAGCTTTAGAATTAAAGATAAACAACCATATTGTTGATATTTTTCAAAATTGATTCATAAATTTGTTTCATTTGTTCGTAAATAGAAAAACATTTGTGTAAATATTTGTAAATTTTATAAGACTAGGCTTTGTCTTTTGAAAGACTTGGCATTAACAGGTGAACAGAATTGACAAAATAATAATAATAATAATAATAATAATGCTGTTCTGAATTCTAATTCTGGCCTGATAAAGATCAATGCCTATATCTAAATTATCTTCGAAATTTGCATATTTCCTTTAAGTTGTGGGGCATCTTATCACAATTGCGTTTCGTTTCCAATTGTTGCTGGCATAGGTAATACGAGTGTTCCATGTTCATATGTTTCAATCGAGCTGGCAAGGCGACTGGAGGCACTTAAGGTTTCATTTCAAATTGTTTGTAGTTATCAATGCATCTTAAAGCTAATGTTTTGATTCCACTTGTTTCTATAAAATACTGAATTTTAATTTCACTTACTTCGTTTCAATTTCACTTGCGACACGTTGGGAGACATATCAACAGTTAGTATACAAAACAATAAGCTAGTGTACCGATTCCATTCGTTTGTTAACTGCAGTTCGGAACAGGCGGAACAAAAAGTGGAATCATAGAGCATATAATATAGAATGCGATAAGAATGCTTTAGATAGCGTGCGGAACAATGTGAAACGAGACTGAAATGCTGATAGCAAGTGGAATATGTGAAAAGGGTATATACATATGTAGATATGTACATACATATATTATACTGATTGCAGCTCATATGTGATCCATGTACCCCTGCTCGAAGGCGTGACGCACTATGCCGAAAATCTGGCGGTTCGCCTCATCTCCGGCTATGTCCATCGACAGCTTGTAGAAGGCCGGGCCATGCATGTCCGTTTCGAACAGTTTGGAGAGCTGGGCGCAGTCAGCTTCGCTGCCCAGCAGCCAGGGCATGAAGTGCATGCAGATCATGACGCCATAGAACGCGTAGCGTGAGAAATGTTGCTCGAAGCGTGCGAAGCTGGAATGGGATTTTCACACGGGATTGGCTGTGAGTCGACGCCATTCTATCGTTAACTAACAATGCGCCCTACCTGTAATCGCTGAGCAGCTTGTTGATCTGCTCCTCCGAGAGCGTTTCATGATTACGCTGCAAGAGCAGCTCCAAGGTCTGATGCATCTGCTGATGATACGAACGCAAGAGTTTGGCAAAAATCTCAGCTCGATTCTCGGCCGGCGTATTCATGTACAGGAAGAAGCTGATGTCGATGGCCGTGGTGCTGTAGCGCAGCTCCTGGAAATCGATCATGCGTATGCCATCTACGCGCCCCTCCTCGTTCTCGTGGAACAGCACATTGTTGCGATTGAAGTCGCCGTGCAGGAAGGTGCTGAAATACGATTCCGGCTGCGTCTCATCGCACGCAGCTGTGCGAATGCGCTCGAGCAGCTCCACTGGCTGTTCGAAGTACCTGGCGCGCAGCCGCTCGATGGCTTCGGCAAAGCGTTGCTCCTGCGGCTGGAGCAGTTGATCGCGGCAGCGATCGTAGAACTCGTAGAAGCGATCGAAGGCGATGCGATAGAGCACCGCATAGATATTCGGCACGTTCGCTTCGAAGACGAAGGGCAGCGGCACAACTTGCTGGCGCAGGCGCTGCTCCACCTGCGGCTGCAGGATGCGCAGGGCGTAGCCCATCGCGTGATATGGACCCAGAACCGAGCACATGGCCTCCAGCTGATCCAGGCGCAGAGTTAGTCGCGGACCCAGCTTGAAGCCTTTCGGCTGCAGATGCTGCAAAGCCAACACCGACTCACGTGCCTCGCCCAGATCTGAAAGTTGTGAAATATTTGTGTTAATTGCAAATGGCAAAATTGACAAAACAAACAAAAATATTAATAAACTTTGTACCCTTAATCAGACCAAATTTCGCGCAATAAACACGCGGCACAAATTGCTCAACCAATTCCGTATTTAATTTGCTGTCACGCAACAAATTCTCATAGGCCGGCAGTAGTTCGGCATAAACAAAGACCTCATTGGCGAACTGTGTGTAGCATTTGCCGGACTCGCGAAACTCCGGGCTGCCCTTCATGAACTTCACCAGCACCAGCTCCTGGCGCTCGCTGCAGGAAAGGACGATGGCAGTTAATAATCGTATGGTTAAAACATAAGATTCGATTGTACCCACTTTCCGGCAATCTCCATGGTCAGCTGCACCGTATAGACCGCCGACATGAAACCGTCGAGGCCACTGGAACACTTTATATTGTGATCTATAAGCGTTGCATCGTTGCCAAAATATTTAAAAATATCATAAACCAGATATTTTTCCATATAATCGAAATGTTGCTGCTGCGTTGCCATCTTTTTGCACTTTCTCTTTGCCTGTTCTGCGCTGTTCGAGAGGAGTTAATGGGGCTTTTATAGCAGCGGCTCCTCAACTGAGCTTAATTATCTCGAGAACACACACACATACATATATACGATATGTTTACAAGTACAATTAAATGCGATCACTAACCAGAGAACACATAGACTAGACATCTAGAACAAATTTTTTCACCGGCGAAAAAATGCGCTGAGGAGACTACACAACTTCGTATTTGCTCGGCTCAGTCTCTTGAGGCTCAAGCATTGAAAATAAGGCAAGACAAAATCAGTGTGCTGCGAGCGCTGCCACGAAATGCACGCATTACCAAATGAAGCACGGCTATGCGCTCTTTTTCCCTTGCTCACTCTCTCCCTCTCTTTATGCTCTCTCTCTATGGTCTCTCGAATGGCAGCAGCGCACAAAAATTGAAAATTGTTCGCGACGATCTGAGCTCGTTCCTTTTGAGTGAAGGGTATACCGAAATTTGTAAAGCGTTCGCCACGTTCATGCAAACAAAATGTAAGCGTTTCGATGGTTATTCGTGGGAAGGGTATGAAAGCGTTGATACGCATAAACAATATGATTTCGCGACGGGCAAGTACACACACACATTGTCAATCCCTCGCTATCATTTGTGTGCTTGTGTAAGCAACTCTATTCTTGCTACCTGCGGCAGGGTTTGAAAGTATTGATGCCCATGTAAATGTGTGTGTGCATGCTCGTCGCGAAAATGTATTCTTTCTGTGCAGAACAGGCTGTGCAAATTGTAAAGCCCAAAATTTGCCGTTGGTCTGCCTTGTGAAGTGAGCACATGCATACATACATTTGTGTATGTGTATGCTTGTATGGGATGGCAAGCTAATTGTCTCTGGAATTATTATTTTGTAAATTTTGTATGATTTGAATCGTAGGGTGACTATCAAATGGGCCATTATGACTTAATGCAATGATAATGCATAATGAGTAAAGCTTGAGTATAATATGACATGTGTATTTCATATATTGCAAAGCATTTAATAAAGTTAGTAGTGTTTTACGATAATTTTTTCGGTTAAAAATGTGTATAAAATAATTTTAATTATATATAGACACATTTATAAACATGATTAGCAATAATAATATATAAATGTACTTATGTACATATGTATGTATGTATGTATGTTCATACATAGTACATCTGTGTAAAGTGGTTATGACAGTCCATAAGACCGACCAAATGCAAATGCTGGGCTTTAAAATTGCTACAAGCAGCAAGAGTAACGCACGCAGGTCACAAATGCTCATACATGAAGCAAGGGACTACAAGTGTGTGTGTACTTGCCCGTCGCGAAATCATATTGTTTATGCGTATCAACGCTTTCATACCCTTCCCACGAATAACCATCGAAACGCTTACATTTTGTTTGCATGAACGTGGCGAACGCTTTACAAATTTCGGTATACCCTTCACTCAAAAGGAACGAGCTCAGATCGTCGCGAACAATTTTCAATTTTTGTGCGCTGCTGCCATTCGAGAGACCATAGAGAGAGAGCATAAAGAGAGGGAGAGAGTGAGCAAGGGAAAAAGAGCGCATAGCCGTGCTTCATTTGGTAATGCGTGCATTTCGTGGCAGCGCTCGCAGCACACTGATTTTGTCTTGCCTTATTTTCAATGCTTGAGCCTCAAGAGACTGAGCCGAGCAAATACGAAGTTGTGTAGTCTCCTCAGCGCATTTTTTCGCCGGTGAAAAAATTTGTTCTAGATGTCTAGTCTATGTTATCTCTGGTTAGTGATGCGATCGCGACTTTTTATTTATTTGAATTGAAACTCGTTTTACAACATTGCAATGGACTGTATCGTATCGTTATCGATAGGCGACAGCTGGTGGTTGGCGGCGCGCCAAGCGGTTAAGACTTTAAATGCTAACACGAAGCTGTCTAACAAGTTAAATAGTAAATAAACTCATTTTGAAAATGCATATATGTAGATGTAATATATGTAATTTTTTTGATACCTTAGCAAATAATTTGTTGGCATATATATACTATTTGTTTAATTTGTTTGTTCATGTATAATTCATAATTTAACTCAAGCAATAATCAGTTTTCAATTCAACTTAACTTTCTCCTTTGAAATGTTTTTTTTTCACAAACTTCTTCTTAATTACGGTTTAATTTTAATGAATTAATTCAACATTTTACAATTTACATTGCGCGCCGTCACATACATAAACAAATATGTGTATATCGAAATGCCCGGCATATCGATTGGACGCGTTGCAGTCCTGGCAAGCACAGTTATTGGCAACTGCCAGCCCTGTTCTTGTGGAGTTATAAAAATAATACAAAAACTGTTCGAAATGAACGAAAATTCCTAAAACAAAGTATTGGAAAGTAATGCATTAACTTATACACAGTAAAAGACATGTGCATTTCTTATATATAAGTGGAAGCAGAAATTCATCATTTAAAGTGAGTTCCCAAGCGGCGGGTGTGTTTTTTTTTTTTTTTTTTTTTTGTTGGGCGCAGTGTTGACAGCTTATGATTTAAAAAAGAGAGAAAAGAAATAAGCATACAATAAAAGTGGCTCATTAACCATCGGCTTTTAGCCGCTTAGCAAATGTTAAAAGGGGACATGTGTGCGGCGTCCAGTTAACAACACTGGTGTAGCCAGAGCCCGGTTGCCAGCCAAAACCAAATAATAAAATCAAAACAAGTATACAAGCAGTGTGTATATGTGTGTGTGAGTCTACGTGCGAGTGTGTGCGTATAAACGCTTGGAATCGAGCTTCAAAGCGGAGCAAGCAAATAAACGTGCTGGAAAAACAAGCGAAATGCAAGCGCACACTGACCAACACTGTCGCTGTTCTCCTTGTGTCATTTAATAGCACTGTTTCGCAGAGTATTTTTTCGTATTTTCACTGGCGCTGGTATTTTTGTATTTTCCATTGCTCTTCATTTTCGTTTTGCTCTTTGGTACGTACAGACGTGTAAGCGCGCGTTTTTCCGTCGTCGTCGCTGTTGTCGTGATTTCGTCTTTTCGCGTGTGGCAACAAACAAAATATTCAGTTACATTTATAAATCAAATCAAGCAAATTACATTACTAATAAGCTTCTAGCTTTACATTAGCTTCAGCTATATTTCTTTATTTTTTTTTTTTATAAATTTTTTTTGTCGCTTGCGCATGTTTTAAGCGCTGCAGCAGTGGCAGCAGCAGCAGTAAGAAAGGTTGGTGAAAAAACCGTCGTCGTCGGCTCGTACTCGTTATCGGCTGTCGTTGCGCCGTTCCACCGTTATACGAACTGTGCGTGCGTGCATTGGTGTATGTGTGTGCATTTATTTTTTGTTATTGTGCTGCGTTAATTTTTTGTTTTTAATATAATTTTTTGTTAAGCCAACTGAAGTTATAAAGTGCAGTATTATTGACGAAGCAAAAGTTATCGGAAAATAGTCGCTGTCTCACATTGCGTTGTTTGTCTGTTTTTTATGCTCATTTTTATACGGACTTTTTTTTTTTTTTTTTTAGTCCATCTCTGCTGTTGCGACGCGCTCTTTTGTTAGCCGCAGCGTCGCATTTCGCTACCTCTGTATGCGTGCGACAGTGCTTTTTCCAACTATTTTTTTTTACAGTGTGCTAAAGTTATTGTTGAATATATGTTTTAATATCTCCTTCTCTTTCTCTCCCCCATGTGTTTGTGTGTACATGTTCCTTTTTGTTCTTCATTAAACGTTTTCAGCTGCAAGCAACAACAAACGTATAAAAGAAAAAAAAAAAAAAACAAGCAAAAGCAAATTTGTATACATACATGAGTATGTACATATATATTGTGTGTGTGCGTGTATCTCTCTGTTTGTAAGCAGCAGAGGCAGAAGCAGCATCGCCGTTGTCTTCAGCTTCAAGTGAAACATGTTTTTTTCTGTGGCGCTGCCGACAGAGACAGCAGCAACAACTCAAACAAAATTGACAACAATTTGTAACAACAACAACGTCAACTACTACAACGACAGCAACAATAACAGCAGCAGCAAGCAGTAACAGTCAACATGTAAGTGTTGCCTTTTATTTATGCATGTATTTATTGATATGCACATATGCATGAGTATGTGTGTGTCTGAGCGTGAGTCGCAGGCAGTCAACAGCATCAAATTTGTTTGGTTATGTTGAACGCGTTACCCGCTGCTGCTGGCGTCAACGTCGCTGCTGGCGTTGCCACCGTGTTACATTTTGCGCGCAGATGGTGGCAGCGCCGCCACCGCCGCCGCCGCAAACATATTGGATTTGCCGGCATTTTCTACTTGTGCACCTCTCTGTTTCTGATTGGGAAGGCATGTGGTTTTTGCGGTGCGTCTGTGTATGTGTGTGTGATTGTATGTTTATGTCAGGTAGCAACATCACACACTCATACAAATGCTGGCAAAAGGCAAACAAGAATTTTAAAAAGCCATTGACGCCGCCGCAGCAGCAGCGCTGCGGGCAGCGCTGTATGACAGCAAGCACACTTACACACATACATACGCATGTGTCGACAACCATGTACAGCTACAGCGCGGCGCTCTCATGCTGCTTTTTGCGACTGTGACTGCGACGCTTCTACTGCAGAGCGAGGAGAGCAGCTCCCGCTGTTATTTGTTTTATTATGATTATTTTTTTTTTGCTGTTGATAAAATACATTTTACTAAATTGTTGATTTTACAAATGCAATATGTTTGCCACGCGCTCGCTCTTTCTCTCCCCCTCTGTCTCTCTCGTTGCATTTTAATTACAATTTGTTATTTGGCAAAAAAAAAAATTTAAAAAAATTCACCAACAAACAACATGCTGGGAGCGAGAGAACAATCGAGAGAGAATGAGCGCACATTGCGCTTAGCTCACTTGCGCGCATTTGCTCGTACTCTCTCGCTCTCTTTCTCATGCACTGTTGCTGCTCATTTGAACAGAAATTTTCAACAACGCTGCCGGCAACAACAGCAGCAGCACAAGCAATAAGTAGAAGCTTGCGCTCTCGCTCAATCCTTTTTAAGGGCCAGTGCTGCTGTTGCTGCTTCTTCTTCTTCCTGCTGGCTGCGACGGACAGCACAACAGCTGGACGGAAGCGCATGTGAAAGGTTCCAGCAGCAGCTGTTTGCCAATTGGACCAATTGGAACGATACATTCAGACAGCAATTACTATTGCATCTGTGTTCCATTATATGCCATTTTCATTTCGTTCCCCGTTAATTGTTCTTTTACATCTACACACTTTACTTGCCCTTGTAGTTTTGTTTATTTATGAATTGCCATTGTTATTCCTGCTTCTCGTCTACTTCTTTTGTTGTTTCTTTCGTGGGAAAACGCTTACGGACTTGCACTAAATATGCAAACGATACTTTTTTCCCCATAAACATAAACAAAAGCACAAATCGTAATTGCAAAAAGTTATTGTTTATTGTGGAATCAGGTGCATTTCCTTCGAATGAGCGAGAAAGAGATGAGGAAACTCTTTTCGACTGTTCTTTCATGGTTATAAGCGACTTTCTTCGATAGAAAATGTTATCAAATATATAATTCAATATAGAATTGCGAACCCACACATACAATTATTTTATGATTAGGTCTATAGTCTGATTAGGCTTATTGCCTAAGCCTCATTTTTATTGCCAGTTGTATACAGTAATTTGTTCAACAAACTATCAACAAATAATGCACTGAGATCTTCAAGTGTAACATGATATAAATGGAAAAAATATAGATATATACATATGCATATGTACATAGAGAGATATATGTAGATATAAGAGCTAAAAGTATATGGTATCAGACCAAAACGGATGCTGCTGTCGACGTCGACGTCGTCGCAACTGCGCAGTCCGAATAGCGCCGCTGTCGAAAGCGGCAGTTCGGGCCGCCTTCTGCTTGGCCTGGACTGCGGCACACGCCGCCTGGTAGGCAGCCTGTTTCACCTGCTGATACTCGTCGCGGGCGCAGATGATGTCCTTCTGGATGCGCTTGGATCGGTCCTTGGCGGCCGCTAGCATTTGGAGCTTCTCGCTGTAGTCGTTCTGGGCCTGTTCGTTGAGCGCATTCACATCGGCCACGTTCCCGCCCAGAAGCTGAACGATTTCGCTCAGTCTAGTCAGATCCTCTTCGGCTCTTTTGGCAGCACACTCGGTCTTCTCGGCGGCCTTTTCGCTGTTTTCCAATGAGCTTCTCATTTTGCCCAGGAGATCCTCGGCGGCGTTCAGCTCCTTTTCGATTTTTTCCAGCAGCGCCCGCTTACCCTCGAGCACAGCCTGCACGGCCTTGGAGGCCTGTACCGCCTTCTCGGCCAATTGGATGCGTACCTCTTTGGCCGCGCACTCGGCTGCATTTGACTGGGCGTCATTTGCAGCTGTTGCCACCTGTGCGGCTTTTACCGCTATATTGGCGGCTACCTGTGGGCAGTTTCGATTGATACTGGTTCGACATGACGATAATGACGATGGCGAAGAAGATGATGATAATGATGAGGATGAAGAAGAAGCTGATGATGATGACGATGATGATGATGTTGGTGCGCCTGGCAATAGCAGCGGCAGTTCCTTGTTATCCAATTCATTTAGTCGACTGTAGCTTAGCGAAGGATTCCAGCTGCAGCTGCAGGTGCAGTAGGGGATGAGCAGAAGGCAAATGAAAATCAAATTCATTTTAGAAGAAATCGATATATAAATGCGTATAGATTATTATACGATTTTTAACACTGTTTTGGTCTAGTGCCGGCTATTGACATAAATATCAAATGTGTATAGATCAGATGTATTGGACAATAACACTGAACGTATGAAATGCTTCTTATGGAATAGATTGATTGTAGATATTGTCGTATAGATCTACTGAACAAGATTCTATATACTTCATAGGAGCTACCACGCCTTCTGCGGAAAAAACCAATATAAACTGAATTCACATTTTCAATGGATTTATCAGCCATTTATTTATCTGTCTGCAACTCTAAGCAACAGAGTAAGAGAGAGAGAGAGAGAGAGAGAGAGAGGAAGAGAAGGAGATGGGTAGCGTTTCAGCATTTAGTCGGTATTTTCTTTGTCATACTATTTATTATTATTATTATATTATTGTTATTATTGCGCAGCAATTGCTGTGCCAAGTCAAATAACTGTGAATGCGAAGAAGACAGCGGCGCAGCAGCTAAAACGTGAGTGATAGAAACAGAGAGAGAGAGAGAGAGAGAAAGAGGAAGAGGGCGGAGTAGGCTTTATACAGTTGAATGCTCAATCAGTCAAAACTGCGGCGCCGTTTTCCACGTGCAGCCGCTGCTGCTATTATTGGCGGTGGGTGGCGCAGACTGCAAAAACTGCGCCTCAAAAAAAAAAAAAAAAAAAAAGCCCCAACACACACGCTCGCATATGTACACTCGCACACATGCATAGATAGACGAAAAATAGCCGCGTCATTGTCGTAGGTAATTGAGGAGGAGGTGAAAGTAATTCGCAGAAGCGCAAATTGAAAAAAAAAAACGTCATTTCTTTTGTTGTGTTATTAATTCTAATCAGACGCAGAGAGCGAGAGAGCACGAGCACTGTTAACTGCTATATGTGTGTGCACTAGCAAATGCGTGTGTAATAAACCGTAATAATAACAACAATGTTCAGCAATAATAACATAAACATTTTTCTTGCAAAGTCGCAATTTCGTAGCACCCGGCCGAGAGAGAGAGAGAGTGAGATAGAGGGAACGGGAATGAGAGAGCTAGTCAAAGAGTCGGAAACTGTCTAATTGGAATTTATTCTGGTTGCGCAGGCAGCGCGCAATTGCGACAGCAACAGCGACGCTTGCATGATCAGACATGTTGCTGCTGCTGCTGCTGTTGCTGTTGGCAATTTCAATGCCACTGTCAAAGTTGCGCGACGGCGTCATTGATGCACGCACGGACACACGCAAGCGCGCCCCGTTAGTGTTTGTTGTTGTTTGCTTTTTCGTGCACACACGCATACACGCATGCAAGTAATGAGTGCTCTGTTCCTGTTAATAATCGGAAATTATCGATAAATATTTTTGAATAATTATGCATTTTTATTTTTTAATATTCGCAACGCATTCCCTATCTCGTTCTATCTGAATGTGTGTGTGAAACAGAGGACATTGCTGCTTTTGGAACCTTTTTGTCTTTTCTGTGTGTGTGAGTGTGTGTGTCGCTTAATTAATGCTTATTATTTGTGCTATTGCGTTTTAAGCAACAAAATGGCAACTCGATTATTGCGTTGACCTTGTCTGTATGTGTGTTTGTCAAGCAGCGGCAATAGCAGAGGCATTGGCAGCGACGCTGTCATCGTCAACTTCGAGGGCAACAGCGACTGCGCCGCTGAATTCGACGCGGCGAAATCGGTCATTGAACTTTGAACCAAACAAAAGGCGAGAGAGCGTATGTATAATAAACGTAGCGAGAATGTAAATTTTGCCGTTCATATATGTATGTATATATATTTATATATGTATGTGTGTGTGAATGCCAGCGGGCATTCCGTTACGCACTTAACAAAAAAAGAAAGATAAATAAGAAATGAAAGAAAATTAAAAACGAAATGAAATGAAAGCATTTTGCTGTCTGTTCTCTGTCTCGCTCAATCGTCTGCTCTGCAGGCCATTTAAGAAAATGCTTTCAAAAGTGCAAAAAAATAAATATAATATAAAGAAATGTTTGTGGCTAATCAGCAAGAGCAGCGCACACCGAAAAACGCCTACAAAGTATTTTTGGTGCCGCGCGCACCCAAAAGCGAAAAAACGGGAACTCTCTCATTCACACACACACAGAAAGACAGACACGGACGCAGTCACAGAAATTTATTAACTGTTGCGCAAAAGACTTTCTAACATTTTAGCATATACACCGATACTTATATGTATGAACTATGTGTATTAAATTATATTATGTCTGTTTTTGTTCAGTTTTACTGATTTGTGTGACCATCAAATAGAAGAAGAAGCAGAAGTAGACGAAGTAAAGTGAAGCAGCAATGGCGGCTATTTGGGTCACGCATGACGCGCGCGCGTCTGCGACTAGAGCATGCGTCCATCCGTCTAAGAAAGAATACAAAAACAAACACCCCAGTGTATAAAGTTAGAGAGGGAGAGAGATGATTGTCTGTGGCAGTGGCAGTGGCAGTGGCAGCGGCAGCGCACAAATAGTGCTGATACATACATATAAGCTAGAGCTAGCCCCAAATAACCAGAAACATTAAAGAATGGGCCACAATAATCAACTGAGTCAAAAAAACGCATATTTCTTTACAAATGTTTTAATACTTTTAATCAATTCATTTATTTATACGTACATATTATATATATTTGAGTTCAATAGAAAAGGTTTTTTAGCATAGAAATAGAGTAGCTTTTGCATGCACCAAATAGCTGAAAAATAGCTAATTGAGCAACACTGATAGCGCCAGGCTGCCTGTGCGTGTGTGTGTGTGTGTGTGTGCAAAGCGAAAGCAGTATGCGCTCTCTTTTCCTCCTCTATCTATATCTCTCTCTCCGCTGTGTTGACGTCAAACACGACTGGATCGCTAAAGTTTTCTTTTAGTTACTAAAAAATATAATAAATTGAAGAGAGAGAGTGAGAGAGGAAAGGGAACAGCACTGGCTGTAAGCGACCACCCACCAAATGCAGAGTTGCCAGCTGCGCGTGAAATTTAATTGGCGCGTCGTGTGGGATTCTGCGTGGGGGCTGCTGCTGCCTTTGATTTTGCTCGTAGACCAAAAATAAATTATGATGCATGCGAAATTTTGTTGCTGCCTGGCTAAAAATAAACACGCACACAGGCACACGCACATATGTATATATCATCATTGTTAATGTATGCGAGCAGTTAGTTAGCTTTTGATCGGAGTATTTGCTGCTCTTGATTGTCGGTACATTTGTGACGTCACACGCACATCGGTCACAAGCACAACTCGTGCAATTGATAAGCAGCAGCTGTTGCTGCCTTGATGGGAATGCGACTAGTTTTGATTAATGAACATACTCTATGTGTGTGTGTGTGTGTGTGGGCAGCATTCGACAAGTTTCATGTTGTATAGTGTCAGTGTCAGTGCAGCCAATTAGGCTTTTTTACAGTCACTTCTAGCTGCTTTTGAAATAAATATTAGTTAATTAAGGTTTTCATTACATCAAGCTCGAATGTAAATAAACAGATTTAGTTTACTTTAGAAGTTGGCAATATTATCTGCATGACTATCAAATAACATTTGGTTTGGGTTTGCCGTGACGCATACGACAAACTTAATTTTTTTTTATCGTTTTGTTTGCTGTGTGTGTGTGTGTGTGTGTGTGTGTGTGTGTGTGTGTGTGTGTGTGTGTGTGTGTGTGTGTGTGTGTGTGTGTGTGTGTGTGTGTGTGTGTGTGTGTGTGTGTGTGTGTGTGTATGTGTATTTATATATATATTTATATATTTGCACCGTGTGAATCAGAGAAATTAAAAAGAATAATTCATGATGGAACTGGTTTTTGGCTTGCACTGAACTTGTGCCGGCTAACTGTGTGTGTGTGTGTGTGCATGAGTAATGATGTTTTTTTTTTGCAGCAGCAGCAGCAGCAGCATTTGCAATTATGTGGCAACACTCTTCGTCCAATTTGCTTGGCAACAGTTAACGCAAACAAATGCCAAAATATATACATATATATCACAATAACAATAACAGCAGTAAATGGTTAAAACTTGCGGTCACTTTCACCGTAATGCGCCGCTCTCTATGGTATGTGTGTTTTTGTGAGTCGACTGCTAAATACATTAAAACATTTGCGCACACATTTTAATTAAAAAGCGCAAATTTTGCCTGGCAACAGGCGCTTAACAGCTGTCTGCTTATAGCAAAAAGCTTTTAGTCGGCCAGCAGCGCTGCCCTGCCAAGCTGCGCTTTCTATGAATGCTGCTGCCTGCCGCTACTGTTGTGTGTGTGTGTTTGAGTGCGCGTGGCGCTCAACTGAACTTGTTCGCTGCTATTAGAACTCACTCTCTCACAGACACACATACATACATGCATGCTGACAAACACACATGCGTCGCGTGTCGTTCGTTCACCTGCTGCGCTTGCCAGAGAGAGAGAAAGAGAGACGAGTTCGAGTGCGAGTGTGTCAGTGTATGTGTTTTGTGAGCAGCGCGTGTTTTTCCTTTATTTGGTTTCTTTTACACATTATTATTATTATTTTTTTTTTTATTTTGCGCCGCGCAAAATGTTATTGAATTTTGTTTCTTTTCTTTATGCGCTATTTTGTTGTTGTTGTGCGTTTAACTGTAAACGTGCTCTTTATAAAAATGTCTAACTAAGCTTTTCTTTATTCTGTTACTCTTTGCAGCTCTCCAAGACGACATCAGCAGCAACAATAACAACTACAGCAACTACAACAACAATTGTGTTCAGCTTATATATATCTACAAATAAAAAATCGTGCGTGAAAATGTTTTTTGTTGTGTTCCGTTAATTCGCTCATGAAATGTATGTTCCCATGCAAAATGTGCAGAGCAGTACTTTGTATTAACAACAACAGCAACAACTACTACATATATAATATAAAGAATAATAATACAAACAGTTTAACGACAACAACAACAATAACTTAGATACCACGAAAAAGCAAAATAAAGTTTTTTTCGTTTTGGCATTGGCCATTATCTGTCCGGCCTGCTCTCTCGCGCGGACGTTCTTTAGGCTCGCTCTCCCTTTCGCGCGCGGCTCTCGGTGTTTGTGCGAAACAAAAAACAAAAACAAAGAAAGGAGAGTGGGAGAGACCGTTGTTATTTTTGTTGTTTTTTTTCGTTTTGCATTATTTTTGGGCGCTTGCGCGCATACACACACAAACAGAGAAGCATAGTGAGAAAGCGAGAAGAAGAGCGACACAGACACACGTGCGCGACGGCAGTGTGTGTGTGTGCGCAATGGATTTGCACATTGATTGCAAAAATATGAACATGTGTGCGCGCGTGTGCGAAAATTTGTATCTGTGTGCGTGTCTAAATGAAGAACGTGAAAGCTACAACAACCATTAACAATTGTGTTTATAAACATTTATGTCTGTGTGTGCAACAACAGCAGCCACATAACAGCAGTAGCATTAACATTAACATATGTGTATGTTAACATCAACATAACATTAAAAGCAAAACCCAAACAAAAGACTTAAAAAGTGTGTTCATTACTTTAAAATAAAAATAAAATAAAATAAATAAAAACGAAAATGAAATAATATATAAATATATATATGTATATATATCCACAAGATTTAACGTAACGTATATATATGTATGTGTAAAACAAGTATTTAAAATATTAATACAACAAAAATAAAAACAGCCCAAAAAATTTAAATATCTATATATATAGAAATTATATATATATATACGCGATAATAAAATATATAACCGTAAACGAACAAAAATAAAACAACAAAAATTTAGTAACCAAAATTAACAACGAGAAGTAATTTATTAATTACCACAACAACGTTAATAATTTATTTAATTTATACAAGAAATAAAAATGAAACATAGATTTCAAATATAAGAGAAAGGATCAACCAAAACGCAAATTATATATGAACAAATAAACGCAATATATATATATATGAATAATAATTATATGTATGAATATATATATACCTGTATCTAGGTATATATATCTATATAGATATATATATCATAAACATAATTCAGCATAAAAAGCATTAAACCAACAAGAAAATCCAGATGTATAGATTGGAGGATACTAACAGCGGCGCTGTTATGGATAAGAACAAACAGAAATGTAAGTAGAATGCACACTGTTAACTACTTAACAGAGGTAATAAAAGGAAATCTTATTTAGCGAGCGATCGCTGTATTGAGAGCGCACGCGTGTCATAGCAAGCAGCTGCTGTCACCTGTTGCTTCCTCGCTTCACAAATGGCACAAGTGTTCGTCTGTGTGTGTGTGTTGTATGTTGTGTATGACTTATCAGTTAGCTTTTGTTTGCTCATTGTGAGAAAGAGGAGCCAATTTAGCAAGTAGCAGGCGCTGCGCTCGGACTTTCCGGACTTCCCCTCTATTTGTTTAGTGCATTTGGATTCCACGAAAACGTTTTATCAACGGCGCCTCGCGTCTGCCCTTCAATTCGTCAAGTGTTTATTACGATTTGGTGCAAGCGTACGATGTATTCGACTAAACGATAACCTGCGCTGAGCTAAAGCAGCAAATATCTAAAAGAAGAAAGTAAAGAATAGTCGTCTAATGGGGAAGGTTTGCAGAGAGTATGCTTTATATGTCCCTTAAGAATGCTTCAATAGAAATCGATATTAGGCAAATGAGATGTCATAAATAGCTAGAATCATTAGTTCAATAGAAGATGAAACAAGATTATATAAGCTTTACTACTTTTATCGATTTATCAATTAAATGATTAGTTTTACTATATACTGATCTGTCTATTGTATATAATCTATACACAAAGAATATGCGATATTCCTTCTTGCATGTGACATGCATTGTCTTCAAGGCAATATACCCTCTATAATGTCACTTTCAATAGGTACACGGTATACACAATTGCACCCATTGATGGGTCATTTATGACTCACTTGGCAAGCACCGACCGTGGTTCCACACTAGGCCTGTTTGTTGATAACGTACTTCATATAACTATATATACGTATATATTGCCCGGATTTAGCATCGATGTGAAATAGATTCCACTACCGCTGGCTCCCCTTCCAATACGTACCCCTACTCCATGCTCCTGGTCAAGAGAAAAATGTCGTTGCGACTATTATTGGCTAAGACGGCGGCGACGACGACGACGACCACATTTCGCTAGAGCTAAGCACAAAAACGGATCACCGCAGTGATTCTCCCGTTCGTTTCTATAAATAGAAGAACACTTGCAGCAGCAGCGGCAGCATCATCATCATCATCATCATCATCATCGTCGTCATCGAGCAGATGCCAGGGAGCAGTAGGTCGTACGAGGAGCATCCATTTAGCTCCATAACCCAACAAATTGGCAAGTGATCAACTTTGATTTAATAATAAACGAGACAAGAAATGGAATTTAGTTTAGGCTTTGCTGAAGCTGGAATACCCTTGTCTAACGTAGGAAATATCTGTGCGATATATGTATAAGGAAAACTAGAAAGGGACTTCTTCGTATATTCCAAAACTTAACAAATGTTCAATTAGATTTAATTAGTTGATATTAAACTGGAATACAGACGCATTTAAACGAGTTCGAAAAGCGTTTCAATTTTCCCGATCTACGAAGCACTAAAGAACTATTTTTGTGATACTGCTAAATTGTTTTTATCTTCTCAAATGTAGCGCTAATAGGAATCCAGTCTGGGATATACTGGGATGGTAATTGGAATCTACTCTAATCTAAACATGGGCAGGAGTTATTCCAGATGATCAATAAAAGATTTATTTGCACGTCAGCTGAATTACTCAATGTCACGATCGATTTGGACATTGCTTTCGTTATGGTCTACTTCCATCAGGGACTCTTTACTAACTAAAACAAAGTGTGTCCAAAGATGGCTTCTATTGAGAAAGCCGTTTCTCTTGCTGTCTCAGGATAATTTGTGGCATTAATTAAAAATAAATAAATTTTATGCAATTTATTTAATTTGCTGTATGATTAATTTCTGATTCTACTCGTTTGGAATCTGAAAAGAGAGTATATTGGCTTTGAACAATTTTCGTACAATCGTTCTTCTATCTTCTGTATATGTATATTTCTGGAAAGGACCCATATCTCTCTCAGCTATGCCACTAAATTCATTTCCTAAATGGAAAATACGAAAGTATTGATTCTTAATGATGCGGTTTCTGGCCCGGGAACGGGTATTATGCAGTCGATTGCTCCCGAGTGCAATGCTTTCACTTGTTTGATTGTTTTGCTTTATTTATCGACTTCCTCATCGAAACAAAAACAAAAGAAAGTGTAGGAAGACGGTGTAGGTGGTGTGTGGGCGGTTATGCATCATAGCTAACATATAAATAGATATGCTTTAGTCTATATTCTCGAAATTGCACGTTCACCTGATAATTGAAATTAAAAGATCATGGCAATGCGTTATCCAAAAGAGTTAAAAAGTTGAGAAAATATTATGGGAGACCAAATAGTTGTATAGCTAATATACATGCATACGAATCTTGAATGGTCTTACGAAAAGGAAATCTGAAAAGGACAACTCTAAACAGCTGAAAAGCTTTATTAGAATTCCCTAAAATAGTTGGACCGATGGAAACACTGGCTGAATATGACTATAAACTCATTGCCATTGATGGCAACTCTAAAGCTTTCTAGCTTTCAAGTATTAAAGCTGAAATCAATCAAGAAAGTCGCGGTTTGAAGACAAATCTGGCTTGAAATTTCATAAACAAACAATTTAGCTAAGTGATGGCAACTCTGGTTCATATGTATATTAACTGTGAATAAGAAATGTCAAATCAGGCAAAATGATGACAACTCTGGCCAAGCGGCCAAAGCTGAAAGCTCAATAGTCGTGCCGCGACTTAGACCAATCGAAATAGAACGTGTTGAAATGGCGGAATCATCAAATGCATTTGATGGGAATCGGCGATCAGAGCAGAAGAGCGCACAGCAACTGCAAATTTTGGCAACGCAGCAGCAGAAGGGAAGAAGAAATGCAGCGGCAAACGTAACGTAATGTAACGTAACGTAATGTCTCGACATAAAAATAAAACAGACGTGCGTCAAAAAAAAAAAAAAAAAAAAAAAAAAAGGTGAAGACGAAGACTGCGCTCGACATGATTTTTCTAGCTGTAAAAAAACATTGACGCAGTTCGCGTTGAAATCTCACGCGACGCAGATCGCGCGAGTAGTCGCAAGCCGAAAAATAACTATATAAACCATATAGTCTATATATATATATATATATAGAGCTCTGTGTGGTATGAGCTTCGCATGGAATCCAACGAGAAATGAAAACAAATTGTTTAATTGATGGAGCACAAATGCTATCAATCATACATTGAAGAAAAGCTCCTTAGTTATTAGCTTCTGCTTCACATTTTTGTTTGAGTGAAAGATATATATATGTACGTACATATATATATGTATATATATATATAAAAGTGAATCTCGCAATAAAAGAACTTTTGCATAGCGTGTGAAATATTTGTGCGGTGTGCGAAAAGAATGAAAGAAAGATAAAGAAAGCGAACAACAAACAAAAAAGAAAAGAAATTCACAAAAAACAAGTTGGAATGTTGCAGTCGGATGCTACCGACTGTCTGATACTCGTTCGCGCTATCAAAAACCATTCGAATCGATTTAGTTATTTATAGAACGTATGAGTCTATCCCTACATCTAGGGGAGTTCCGTAAGATTATCTCTGGAAATGAGTTGATTTAACAGTTCTTCCGATGTGTTACGAATTTCCCAGAATGCTTAGTCTGTCTTAAGAGGAGATCTGTAATAGCTTAACTGTCCTGTGTGTGGGGCTCTACCCCAAAACCTGTCGAAAGTCCGGAATATACTCTTTTTTTCGGTGCGTGAACGTGTATAACGAGCAAGGAAGGAAATATTTATATAGCCATTAATATAGACGAGGTCTCTGGCTTTGCTGTCGCTTCTTCCGGACGTTGACTCAGTCGCGATGTCAACGGCTTTGGTCTACTGGCAGTCAATGAACGCCTCGATGGCTGGCCATGAGCCCGGCCTGATCGGCAGCTCGACGGGAACGATGACAACTGCGCCGCCAGCTGTTGCCGTTGGTGCCAACACCTCGGCGTCCTCGGCCTGGCGTCCATCGTGGAGCAACTGGAGCAATGGGGGAAATGGCAACGGCTATCAACTGCAGCAACAACAGCAACAACAGCCGCCGCATTATCTGGCCCAAATCGATTGCCAGCATACGATCAAGAGCTTTGCCTCCAATCCCAGTTCTAGATTCCGGGCCACAATCAGCATCAGCAGCAACGATGCGAGTCATCAGCCGCATCAGCATCATTTGTTGTCTCAGCGGCCAGCGCAATATAGCTGTAAGCACGAAATTTAAGTCTAAGAATTGTGGTGCATGGATACAATGAACCGTTCGTCATTCCCTGATAAGCTTATCGCTCAGGCTTTGAATGTATCGCATTGTATTGTGTATTAGGTTCGTTTATCCACCTGC